TGTTATTTTTGATGGTTACTTCTGGTTTTGTACTTGATAGTATGTAAGGAACATCAGAATTGTACAACAGCAATTCTTCATCTCTGAGTAGCACTTCCCCATATCTTTTAATCAACTGAATAGAATTCTAATCTAATCCATGGACTAATTGCCTAAAGTTAACAAGATTTGAGTATTATTGACATTGATAGGATCATTTTAACTGATGCTAACAGTTTCCCCAATCTACTGTATAATACATACAAACCCTGCAAAACTGCAATTGCTAACTGAGCTTATTATTGCACCAGCTGTTGCCCTCCTGATTTCTACAGAATAGGAACATACTCAGTCCTTCAAAATGAGAGCTGATAATTTAGATTTAATGATACAGTTTTAATTCATAATTATCAAGAAGTTATTTATTCTAGCGTTGCTGTATTCTCAGCCTGACAAGCCAGGCACTCGCCCTTGTTCTGCCACGTTCACATTGCTTGAAGAAGCATCTCCAGATCCTGACACCAGGGTTTAGCCAAGCCACACACCTTCAGGTCCAAGGGATCACCCCGGGGAGCAGAGGAGTGTTTTCTTCAAGAAATGTTCTTCCTCCACTGGGCTCCCCTCACATCAGAGCCTGGAGAAGATAATTTAAATACACTTTGCCTCCCCACTGATCATATGCTGAACTTAGTTGGGTTCCTAATTTTAGTTTAGCTATTGTCTTTCTTTAAGTCTCTACCTTAATCCAGTTTCTACACATTGTTCTTCTAAGACAAGACATCCAGCTAAGAATAATTCTGTGCTGCAGTCTCTCTAGTGGCTAAATTCCCGCTCTGTTTTACCTTTCACTGGAGATTACAAAAAGGAACACTTACAGCCACCTGACAAACTAAAAGCTGCCAACATCTCATGTGAATAAATAGCAAACCTGCTCTCTTGTGCTACCTGCCAAAAACATTCACACTACAAGTGATCAAAAAAACTCTCTACAGTACTCGCCCACACAAGAGCACTTGTTCCCCTTCATTAACCAAAGCACAATGAGATATACCCCTGAATCTTGGTGGTGAAAAGTCTATCTTTCTCCAAGATGCTAAGTCCATCAAAAATGATCTTACCACACAGTAACTGGCCTAGAACTGCTCTTTATCCTCAGTCAGTTGAGCTGATGACACTGAATTTATTGTGGCAATAAAAGAAGGAAAGGAAAGGATGACATTTGCTGAAAAAGAAATTACATCAATGTGAAATGAGCAATTAACTTGTAGATTTTCCACCCTAAGACCTTCTCTATGAGAGATAACACAGCTCTATAAAAATCACTGCTATTGGAAACAAACACAACTAGTTTTTATACAATATAGATGCACAAAAAGAAAAACTCTACCTATATGGGAAACCTTGTGATTTCCAAGGCAAGACACTTCTTTCAAAGTGATTCAAACTTCGGTTTCCCTCAGTTCTTTGTACACCCACTATAAGGTGACCTAACTGGCCGACTCCATCTCCTCCTCCCAAGCCTGCATAATATACATTATGCAAAAATACCTCAAGACCTCAACCACAGGACCACTTCCACATGTGCTTAGCTTTCAGCATATATACAGCTGCTCTGAAATCAGTTAACACCAAGGAGACATATCTGAGTGCAGCCCTGACTGCATCTTAATATTGCAAACAACTGTTTTCTAACGGTTTCTAAAGGAGGGATTCAGAGCTCCAGTCTAAGCACACTCCCAAAATAGGAGAAGCTCTCCTGTTGAACTCATCATCCTCGTCAGAGGGACTGGATATGTAAACAGTGGGATCACTAAGCCATTAGCAGCTGTGGGAAAACTCCACCCCATCCACCCTGACCTTTGACCACTCAATCTTCTGCTGTTTAAATCAAAGAGATAACAGAAATAAATATGTGGGATTAAAAAAAATGAATAAACATGCTCTCTACCTCACACTCCCCCCCTTGTCAAAACTATAGGACGTAAATTGTTGAGCTGAAGTTAAGAAACAGGGCAGTAGTAAGAGCTGTATAGCAACCCTGCACATGGAAATCAAGCTCATGAATTATTATTTGTCTGAAATTAAGTTACCTGATGTGCCTTTAAAACATCGACAGCCTTCCAGGATTCTGCTAAGGAGGATGAGAAGGGCAAAAAGCATCACTTACCTGAAGAACACCAAAAGCCCTTAGAGAGCTGCAGGGCTTCTATGAAAGGATGTAAAATTTAGTAATAATGCTAAGAGCTAAACTTGTTAAGTG